AGTTGCTACATGCCCCAAACATTCAGCTTTCAAATGCATCTTTTGGATTCATTCTATCTATTACAGTTTTCGAGTAAATTAATGAAATGTGAAAACACTGCTTTTTCGAACGTTCTAATTTCATTTTTTCAACTTTGAACGCGTATTACAGCAATATTGATCACTGCTACTAATATTCGCGCCTCACAGTTTGTAAAACACTGCTCTAGGAAGAGCCTCTACCATTTAGCTACGTAACCAACTGGTTAAGCTTCACCAATTAACATTTTGAGAACCGCTAGTATTTTTTGAAGTAACCGCCAGAGATGATTGTTTTGACAACCTATGCACCCGAACATAACCTACAAAAATTAATTGTAACTAAATGTCGTTATTTATTTGAATTTCTTAATTTATATTTGTTAATTGTTATCGAAGTTAATTAAGAATGGAACTGCAGGAGGATATTGTGAAATGGGCAGAGAAGATGGGATACCAGAACAGAATGCCAGATAATCTTAAAAAGTATGCTTCAATTCATAATTTTAAATTAATTCTTATATATATTTTTTTTTGCTTTTAAGTATTTGTAATGCTTCAACAGTGGGCATTTGGGCCCAGATCATTGAAAGGGTAAGGCCTCAACAAGAGATCGAACATGTCAGGAAGAATTTGGTGATACATGCTTTAAAAAGTGATGGGAATCGAAAGAGATCAAAAGTATTTAAAAAATGAAAGAAAGAATTATTGTTATTATGTTTTTTTTGTATTAATAGGTGAGATTAGATTTTCCTATACAGGAAGTTGATGTGTATTTTAAGAAACAAGAACTCGAGAAGGAGCTTGTTAAAAAGCAGCTGGAGTTTCAGGAAAGAGAGAGGAGTTTGGAGAAATTGGTTCAGCAACATAAATTATTATGTAAGATTTGTGAAAAAATTATATATTTTAATTGATTATTGTTTGCTTTAGATTTGAAGTTTGAAAGTGTGGAGAAAACAGTGGAGGAGAGTAATCAAAAACGATTTTTGTATGAAAACAGAGTTGAAGTTTTGGAGAAGAAAATTGAAGGTATTGAGAATAAGTTGATACAGTGGCGTAATTTAACACCTGTTGAGGGTGAAATAGTTTCAAATCCAGATGTCACTGTAAGCTTCAATTATAACAAAAGAATACAATTAATTGTTAATTTATTGTTTGGTTTTAGGAAGATTTAAAGCAATGTTGTTTAAAGTTGGAACAGTTAACTAATAAGAATGCAATAGTCGATTTACCAATTTGCGCTTTTGATACACCGAAATCTGCTAAGAAATTCAGTAGTTTTTTATACCCGAGATCAGCATCGAAGGCGTTCAATTTGGATGAGGAATTGAATAACCGCACTCTAGTTGAAACCCAATTGGAAAAGGATTTGGAAATTGTTAAGAGAGAAAAGTCTATAGTTGAATGCACGGAAAACGTACTTTGCAATTACAACAGGAAACTGATTTGGAACACCTTAAGAGGATTGCAGGACGATCTTAGATTTGATCTGAAAAAGTTCGTGGATTCATCAGAAAATCAGCACAGCAGGTGAATTGTAATAAATTGGAAATTTTATACTAAATAAAATGTTTAGTGATTTTAGAGCAAACAACACGAAGCAAAGCAAAATGCCCGAAATGCATACAATACACATTAAAAAAGAGTTTGCTGCAATGAAATGCTCGTTCAACGCTCAAATTTTGAGAAGGAAGATCCATAAAAAGATGGAGGAAATATTTGTAAAAAAAAAAATGTACACGAGTATAAATGTTTCAGTGTTAATTTAATTATATTTTCAGTGTTCTTTGAAGAGCGAAACTGTAAATGAAGCTGTGATGGATGAAGTGAAAACTTCGATTTCTTTGAAAATGGAAGAGGTAAGTCTGAATAATACGTTGGCTTCGCTGAACGCTTCTCTCGTCGAATTGAGAGCGGTGATGAATAACGAGAATGATTTGATTTTCGTGCAAGAGAACATCCACAAGTTGCACAGCGTTTTGGTAAGAAACAAATATAAAAAATTTGTAATTTAAATGTAATAATTAATTATTTTTTAGGAAGTTAATGTGAACAAAGTGATTTATAAATTGAGGCTATTCGATTATCTGAAGAGAGCTATGGATCGCTGCAAAATGGATACGTATCTTCAAGTGAAAAAGTTAATCAGATACACGGAAAACTTTGGGTGGATGGAACCACTCGGAGAAGAAGCTATAATGGATGAAATAAAAGCCTTCAGCTCGTTCCCGTTAAATCACAATAAGCAATTTAAGTTTACCCAAAAGTAAGATCAATTGATTCATTATAATTTTATTTTACAATTAATTCAATTTTAGATCAGGAAATCCTGTTTATTATCGAAACAAATCCAATCGCTTGGCTTTCGATGAAGATTTAGATGCGAATTCGGCTTCGATGATTGTTGCGATTTTGGATAATCCCGCTTTCATTCCAGAAGTTATTCTTTTAGGTTTTCTTAAAATTAAAAAGAAGATGGAAGCTGTCGACAAATTCCATAAAATCAACGTGGATTGTGCACATTCTAATTGTAAATGCTTTGAAATCATTATTTTTGTTTTCTTATAAGTTTTTATTTTTTTTTTTAATTTTAGACACGTTCGAGCAATTGCAGAAACAGGAGAGTTACATCGATTACGCAATTGATAAATTCTGGTATTTGGTTGGGCCGTGCGATAGGAAAAAGAGCCTCAGCGTTGCTAAAATGGAAGAACTGATGAAGCTGTGGACGGAGATGCCTGTAAAAGACTTTCTGTCTGATAAGAAACTGTTCAACGGTGAAAATTATAAATATTACGAAGCAATGTACGATAGTTTTTATAATCAATTATAATACAGTTTATCACTTGTAATTTACGACTTTTCTTTATTATTAACCCGTCTCATCCTATATTTTTTGATAATTTAGGTAAAAAAATGTTAAAATTTGAATATTATATAATGCAATAATTGGATTGGAGATGGCTGTGGTTGGGTTGCCGGGTGAAAATTTTGGTAGCGATTTGTTTTCGACACCATTTTTTTTTTCGATCTTTATTCAATGAAAGGCGTTATTAGCATTGGGTGAATTGTGTGTGTGTGCGTTTTGTTATTTCTTTTTCTAAATGGAGAAGCCACGTGACAAGGTGTTTTATCGTAAAGGTATGATTTCCTACATTACGCGTAATTTCGTTACAATTGCAAATTTTCGCAACAAAAATTTTGAATCTTGTTGCGATCATTTCTTGGTTATACGTCAAAAGTTTTTCAAAGCTTTCGCAATTATCGTTCCTTTGTTTTTCAAGCGACTTTCTAGATTCTTCCTCGTCCTTCATTTATATAATAGTCATTTAGTTTTGTAGATAATCGCAACAATTACTATTTTAATTAGTTATTAATGTTACTCGCGTGCAACATTTTTCAATTGGTATTTGTTTACTTCAAAAATAACAATACTACATGATAATTCCAATTATTAAAAACTATTGCAATTTTTTGTATTTACAACTAACTGTTTCGAAAATAGTAAAAATCGTAAGCGCAAATTTAATATTTTTTCGATTAACGTTTTGTAGTTACAATAATGTATGAACAGCTATAATTTAAATACACATATACCTCGCTATACGGCCCAACTTTTTCGGAACGTATCAAAGTCGTAAAGCGAGGTATGGTTGTCCAAAAATGATATTTTGATATTACTAAAGTTGTTATTTTGTTTAAGAGGTTTTATTGTTGGAATATGTGTAATCCATAAAGTAAAGAGCAAAATTGGAAAGTTTCTTTTGTAGACAGTCAGACCAACATCCTGTACAATCGCAAGGATCGTGAACGTCCGAGGCCACGGAGCCGCAGCGTTTATACTAGCAAGTCGCACAACAGCGACAATTCCGGAAGCCTTAGAGATTCGAAGAGCTACGAGGGAGTGGTTCCATGGCTTTCGAGGAGTATTTCCAACAAGAACATCTTCATCGATGATTACAACGTTTGCTCGGTTATGATAGTTATGTTTCGTGTATTTTTTAAAGTAGGAATTTGTTGCAGCATGATATATATCATGAGGACACCTCTCCGATCTGCGTGAGCCCTTTAGGAGTGATCACCTTGCGGCTGCACGATCGCGTTAGAGTCGATATATCATTGGATAGGGCAGTCCGCATCATTAACGCTCGCAGTGGGATAGTAATTGCGTTGAGCGCGTCTGGGAGTTCAGCAGCTTTAATGCACCCTAATGGTAGGGTGTATCAGTACGGATCCAGGGTCGAGATATTAGCGCATGATCCTCACGGAAACAACAAGTATTATTAATTGTAATTAATTTCATTATACTATATAATTATTTGATTTAGGTATGCTAAGATGTGGTACAAAGGTGTGAGCTTTACCAGCGATCAATGCGCGCTGGTCTACTTGGTGGATTCGGCTGGGACTCGTACTACAACTGATACCTTCTCCGATCTGAACGTGGACTTTTCTATAAGCGTTTTCTGCAGCGAAAGCCCGTACGGCGATGGGAACGTGGGACAGAATCTGATCAACGAGGCTGTTAATTTGCTGCAATCCTCAACCTATTGGGTGTCCGATGATGGGACCAGCAATTGGCTCATTAACAACGTCCGCGTCTCGCAAACTACCGACGGTTTAGTACGGTACGAACTTTCGAATCGTTGCATTAACTTGTTATTAATTTAGTCTTATTTACAACAGCGTCGGACGTAACAGCAACAAATTCTCGCTTCATACCTCCCCTTCGAACGGATCGGCCAGAATCAGTTCACCGTTCCTGCATTGCACCGGATCCATGGGTCAGACCAGGCATTTATTCGTACGTCGTGGGGAACGTAGAATGCACTATGACGGTGCCAGCTTCATAGTCAGGAACGCCGGTCATTCTGCCGGCTTCGACGATAAGCACCAGCTGAAAGTTTACTGACTGCCCAAGTTTCTCCTAATTTTGGTGGGGTCAATTTCTGTTCATTCGCTTTAGCATTATATATATATTTTTTTTTTGGATGGGGTTTCTCTCGTGAGTATTTCGAATGGCATCTGGATTGGGGCGAAAGGAGGGAATTTCAAAGGCCTATTTTAGAATTTATTGCAGAACAAGTAAAGCCAAAAAACTGACAAGAAAAAGCAAAGTATTATTCGAGCGTTAATAATAATAATCAATATGAAAAAGTCGTAACTTTTAAAAGTCACCATTTTACGCTTGTATATTTTAACAATCGGCAGAAGACAACATTTTGTCCAACATTTATTTAACTTTTTTTTAGCAAACGAATTTAGTTTAACCAGAAAAGTGTCTTAATTACGTATGATTATGTTTAAAGTGACTTTTTTTTTTTAAAAAACGTATTTAAAAAAAAAAACGACGGCCACGTACCTTCCTAAAGTTCAATCCTCCTGCTCTTACATATGTATCTTTTTTTTTTAAATAATTTATTTATTTATTTAATTTTTTTTTCTCATGTCGTTCAAATTATTCGAAATGTTTCTTTTTATTGATATGTCGTGCGGCGGATCGCTGAGGTTCGCCATCAAATTGTCATGTTCTAAAATAAATTCATTGTTCTACATAATATCTCAACGTTCTTATCGAACCGGAATAGAAAAAACAGCATAATTAAATATTAGCAATTTTTGTTTATCTACAGAGAAAAAAATTATTTGTTGCGGCTTCTTTGTTATTAGATGTTATTGCGGTCTATTGCTTAAGAAGAATTTTATATAAATAAGGGCAAACAAGCACCGAAACGCAAACGTTTGTTTAATAATAAACTTGAGCGTTATCCTAAGGTTAATAGGTTAGGTAATGAGTCGAAAAATATAAATATATAGAAAAATAATTTTGTATATTTGCATATGCCGATCTTATCTTAAGTTCATTTAGTATTAGAATACGCGGTTCAGTCTGTATATATTGTCGTTGAGTGCTGCCCGATTTCAATACAGATCCGTTAATCCGCAGAAGTACAACAACGGTAAGATTATAAATTTATTCATTTCTCTCATTTATAATTAAAAATTAATTTCAAAATTCGCGATTGAAAAAATTAAATTTTGCGAAATATTTTTGTAAGCTTTTATTTAATTGTTCACAGGTAATGTCTAATTATTACATAAACTTAATTTCTAAATACAAAACGAGTTTTACAAATGGAAAGTGTAAAACTTTCGATTTTGGTCTCTTTAGTAGTATTTTCTTTAAATATTAATTTTATATATTTTTTCATAGTTTAAACAAAAGAAGAGAAAAATTAATATTAATTTTGTTAACAATAAGTTTGAAAAACAATTGTTAAAAAAAAGCAAATGTTTTAAAAACATACATGATTTTATTTCATCCACAGATTGAACGTACAATTAATTAAATTCCTACGCTTAGATCATTAAATTAATTATTCTATAAACGTTTTACTGTATAAAAAACAACAACAATTGTTTCGTAAGTCCTTGGATTCCAAACGCTTTTTACATTTAGTTCCCAACAGAAACAACAAATCTACTCTTATTATCACATTGAAACATTTGATAATGTAACCACGTAAATTAAATAGAGAAAAACAGTGATTATTCGTATCATTTTTATTTATTAAAAACGGACGTTGATTATGTAACGAACGAGTTTGAACTGTGTGTAATGACCGGAATGAATAAAACTCATGTTTCCACCTGTGCTGTAATTCAGCGCTGCGCAAAAAAAAAGGAAAATGCACGTGTGTTTGGGATGGCGCAGGTAAAGCTTACCTGTTTTGATCCCACTACACTTCATAGTCATTACCTCTTCACAAAAATAAAGAGAAAAGAAAATAGTTTTGTTGAAGTGAAATGCAGTTTTTGGTGGAAACAGATGTGAAAGAGGTTCAATCGAAATGCGATAAAAACTGTGCCACAGTGACCTTCCAGCATTAAGTAAGAACCTGTTTACATTCAGCACTAACTAGTAGTAATTTAGTCGTATCATATATTGTTGGCATGAATTTGTAACCATGGATAGAATTTTGAATTTCCTAAAGGTAAACAAACAACAGAAAACTTTGTTCATTTATTTATTTATCCACACAATTACTTTACAAAAAAAAATGTCATTAAACTATCAAATTTAAATTAATTGTATAATATAATATAAACCGCAATGGGTAAGTTTAACTGTTAAAACAAAACATTTAATTTAATAATTAATAATTTAATGTTAATTAATTTGTTGTTTTCAGAATATAAAATTTTCAAATTTCTTCGGCGAAATTAATCTGACCATGATCGGTCCAATTTGTTTCTTCCTCTCGACGATTTTGCTCATCTTCGTCGGTGCGGAAATCCCGAGGATCAAAGATGCCAAAGAATTGAAGCTGTTGCACGTTGTGAGTGTTTGTTGAATCATTTCGTTTCCATGCAAATTTCTACAGATTTAGTAAAGAATGTTTTGAAATTAGTAATATGTATTTTAGGTGATGAGGCATGGGATTCGAACTCCAGTCAGTACTTATCCGAACGATCCGTATATTAACGAGAGATTCGACCCGAACGGTTGGGGTCAACTGACTAATGTAAATCTTGTTGAAATTACATTTAAATTGGTGAAATATTAACAGATTTCATTGTAGGAAGGAATTCGGGATTTGTATGAATTCGGAGGATATTTGAGAGGAAAGTATGGCTCGTTCCTTGGTGACAAGTTCAACAGCAGCGAGTTTTATTCCCAGGCGACTGGAGTCGATAGGGCATTAGCAAGTATTATGGCTGTGAACGCTGGATTATGGAAGCCCAACAAAGCTCAAACGTGGATGCCCAATTTGCGTTGGAAACCTATCCCTGTTTTATCCCAGCCTTTGGATGAAGATATGGTAAAAATAAAAAATTTAAGTATATTAGACTTTATGTAATTCATTTTTTTTTTGATAGTTATTGTTGGTGCGTAAGGATTGCCCGCAATACAATTTAGAGCTTAAAAGAGTTGAGGAATCTCCGGAGATCCAGCAGAAGTTGCTGGAGAATCAAGAGCTGTTCAAGTATATCCAGGAGAAGAGTGGACAGAAGATGGAGAATTTCTATGACGTGGAAGATATCTACACGACGCTTCTTGCTGAAGTAACTTCTTAAAGATTGATGGAATTTGTTTTTGTTAATTTGTTATTGTACAGCAATCGTTTGGGTTGAAATTGCCGAAATGGACGAAAGGATATTTCCCGGAGAAGATGGTGGATGCGGCCAGCATGTCGTTCGTGTTGAAGGCGTACAACGATAAATTGCAGAGGTTGAAAGGAGGTGTTTTGCTGAAGAAACTCTTAGGTGATTGGACTGGAAAGGCCGCTAACACTTTGAAGACTAAGGCTTTTGTTTACGGTGGTCACGACACGACCATCTCCAACCTTTTGAGTACCCTGAAGATATTCGACCCGCAGGTTCCCAATTATGGGATGGCCGTCATCTTCGAATTGCTCTTCGACCATGAGACCAACACTTACGGATTGGAGGTCTACTCTTTGAATTGATTTTGGATAAGTACTCATGCTTTTGTTTTGTTTGTTAGATCTTTGTGAAGAATTCGACTGCGCGTCCTTACCAAATGCAATTACCAGGATGCGATAAGTTCTGCCCGTTGGAGACGGTGATCAAGAAGACTAAACCAGTGGTGCCAGTGTCTTGGCATGAGGAATGCTTCACCGATGATCCAGATTACAAGCCTCCAGAACAGGGTGGTCCATAAGAATATTTTGGTGCATTTGTTGTACCGGTTCTATAAATAAACGAAAGCGGTTTGCTGCATCCCCAGATTTATTGATTTTTAATGTTTTTTTTTTGTTTATTTACTTCGTTTTCCGGGAGTTTTCTGGACGCGCGCAATCCCACGTAGATCGTTTTCCCAGAAATTTGCACCCCCAGCGACCTAGATACGCTGATGTGCTGCATTGATTTGGACCCGAACCCGGACCCGACCCGAAACGACATATTTCGGATCCGGCTAGATCATTCGTGATTCGTCAGTTACCTTTCGAGTACAAACAAACTATTAGCTTTATCTGTGCATCTGCACATTAACATACAAATCACAAGTACAGATCATAACAAAAAATTCAATAGTTTGTTTGTCTTTGAATTGGTTTAGTTGTTTCTTGTCCTATTATTTCGAAGATCTGCGAGAATGGAAGAGAAGAGAATTCAAGATTGGAGTGCTCCGGGTCCCCTGCGGTCGATCATGGTAGATCCAACGCTCGACGCAAATTTGGGTCATTGGGTTTTAGCTGGATCGGATCGACTCTTTGGGTCGTTGATGACTCTGGGCGCTTTCGCAATTGGACCCACGCAAATCGCAAAACCCAATCATGTTACATTGCGCACGAAAACATGGTACATAATTTCATTATATTCGATGTTTTATTTGATGTTTTAAAAATAAATATGAAAAATTTCAAAATAAATTCAAATATTGCATGATCAAAAGGCATACAAACATAACAAAAGGCATTCAAAAACAAATTTTAAAAAGAGCAATGATTAATTGCATGATATTTTCAAATAAAAAAATCAATTCATTATTAATACAAATTGAGCTTTTCAAATTGATGTTCGCTTTATTCATGCATGATAAATAAATGTTTAATGTTTAATAAATGTGTAAAATGTTATCGAAAGCTTTCCTTCCCCTATTGAAAGATCCTTTGTCGTTAAAAGTCAACTATTGATTGTTGCATGATCTAATAAAATTGACGCAAAAATAATTGTTAATAAAATTGCAAAAATCCATCAACTTACATAAATAATTACAGATATGAACTAAAAACACGCATGAATCCTTGCAAGAAAATAAATCTGTTATTGTGTGTTGAATAAAAGTACATAAATGATTGCAAACTGGAAGTATGAAAATTTTAAAGAAAACGCATGAATTGTTACAAAGTTAATAAATATCTGCGAAATAATAATCAATTAATCCTATGTGTCTGAAAATATATGTGTTAATTGTATTAATCTGTACTTCATTAATCTTAATTAATGAAATTCCAATGAATAATTTCTGTTAACAATTTCGAATGTTAAAGTTATATTAGAAATATTATCATAACATTAATAAATTAAAAAAATTAAATTATATGAATTTTAAGTAATTGTTTCCAGACGTTACGTATAATTATTACAAGTTACCGTTGTTTTCTTATTATTAAGAAACAAACGATAAACAATGTGTCATTACTGCAATTAACATTTTAAATTGTTAATTATTGTTGATAACGTATCGAATATTGGAGCGCACGCGCGCGCAATAAAATCAATACAGCTGGGAAAGGCTTTCCCGGGAAGCTTTTCCAACCTAGGCAACTTATCGCACACGCAAGTTATATATATAGCAACCACTCCAACAAATCAATAAAGCTCCCAGGTAAGCTCGCTCGAACTTATGCAACTTGCTTCACACAGATGTCAAATGTAACTAAAGAAAATCAATACTTTTGTAAAATCTGCTTCTAATTATGCAACTAATTAAACGACTGATTAACAATTAGTAATTATTACTTTAACTAGTTATTATGTGTAATATATTGTTTTAAATGATTTTTCTTATAGTTTTCTCAATATTCAACTAATTATAAAAATAATTCAATATGTTTTCAACGGGTCTATATCGAAAGCCCGACAACCGAAATCCCGACTGTATCAAAATCCCGACAACCATAATCCCGCATGTATCAGAATCCCGACAACCATAATCCCGACTATATCAAAATCCCGAATGTAACAAAATCCCGACTATATTGAAAATTTCCACAATAACATTTTTAAATTATTTCAGAGGGTTGTCGGTATTTAAATATAGTCGGGATTATGGTTGTCGGGATTTCGAACGTCAGGATTTCGATTGATGAGATTTCGATTGCCACCGGTTTTCAACATATAAAATAAACTAAACAAATAACAAAATTTGTGTTTTATGTAATGCATCGCTTTATCCAACTAAACGATATCTTCTAAATTACTCTAATATTATATGATCTATGATCATCAATCATCGTCTGTGACAATAAAATTTGTCACCTTTAATGGATCTTTTAATGCGCTTTCAACACATCATTTGTAATTCTTGGAGAATTCTTGACCATTAGACGGTTGTATTTTCAACCATGAACTTTCCTGTGCTATTATTGCTCTTCTTGGAGTCGGCGATTGGGAAATTGGAAGAATCAGAAAGTGAACTTTGCGATGAGATGATTGCGTACATTTGGAACACCAAGATCAGTTTAGCTGATTCATTCGATACAGTTGGTAAATAGTGAATTAAGGAATTAATTGTATTTGGGATCTGTAATGGTTATTCTTTTAGGATTGTTAGGTACAACTGCTGAGTACTCGAGTGATATAGTCAGTTACATGCTGAAGCACAGGTTCGAAAGACCTATTCTGATAGGAAACAGAGATTTGCAGTACTGGGACGTCGATAAGGATCGACCGGAGAGGACGAAGAACTTGTTTTGTTTCGTGGAGACATATAATCATTTCGAAGTGATGATACAGCTTGCAAAGGAGATGCCTTTCTTTGTGATGACTGGCTTTATACAGTTTATTATTGCAACACCTGTACCTGATAGAACTTGGTTAAATAGTACATTAGGTATAGTTACAAGTTAATTCGTCTATAATCATCAAATTTATCTTTTGGCAATTGAGAGTAATCAAATTTTAAAATTTTAAAATGTGTATGCAACCAAGTATACAGACGTGCTCAAGCGTTAAGTATCCTAAGTATATATTGTTTTAAATTGGATAAACTTACAAAGTTTTAGATTATCTTATATCTTAATATTTGATTTAATTGAAGACTTTCTAAATTGAATTGTACATTTTAGAATATCTTTCGAGAAATAAGGTAATCAATTTTGTGGTTGTCTATAAATTAGAGAATAGAATTGAGGTGATTGGATACAACCCTTTCAATAAATCCATTTACAACTTCACCAATCACAAGAAAGGCATCAGCATTTATCCACCAAAACTATCGAATCTCTATGGTTCTAAAATATACATCAGTTTCATTCCGGACGCTCCAAGGAACATAATAGTAGGCGGTTTGTAAAGTCAACAGTCAAAGAATCAGATTAGGTTGAAGATTTATTACAATTATAGATAGATTGATGGGCGAGGATTTCAATTGGATTCCAATTTTGGAAGAGAAGATGAACGCAGCCGTGGAGTATACTATAGTCAATTCGTACAACTTGATTAAGGAAGAATTGCAGACGGGTGTTACGAACTTTTCTTTGGCTCGTCACTTCACGTATCCAAGACACAGCGCCATCATCGAGTCCGGTTATCCTTCCCGGATGGATTTCGTAGCTATAGCCGTGCCATCGGCCGAACTAATGCCGCAATTCAAATATCTGTTCCTGGTTTTCGAGATACATCTTTGGGTTATCATCATTTTGGTTGTCGTAATCATGTGTGTAATTTATAACGTTCTCTGGAAAGCCACCGGTGAACAGATGTGCGTTGAAGCATCTACTTTTTTAGTAATACAATGCTTCTTGAGCAACGCAAACGCTCATTGTATTAGAGGTCAAAGTCCTATCAAGATGTTGATGACTTCTTGGATCTATTTTTCATTGCTTCTTAGCATTGCTTTCAACACGGCTTTAAGGGACAGCTTGATGATTTTGAAGTACGGCAAAAACATCAACAGTTTGGAAGAGTTGGCTAGAAGTGGTTTGACACTGATGGGAGAGCATAGGATACTTGATGTGCTTATGGAGGCTTATCCGCCGATAGCCGATCAGATCATAGGGTCTTACAACGTTTCTGGTCAACTGATGGAGTACACGCAAAGGGAGATAGGCTTCATCCTTCCTAACTCAGTTATCAAGCTCGTCGATCACAAGAAGGACGAGAACGGTCGTTTCTATTTTCATGTGCTGGAAGAGTACTTGATGCCAGGGCACAGCGTCTACAATTTTCCCAATAACTCGATTTTTAGGGAAGAAATTGATCACATAATGATGTTGAGTAGAGAGTTCGGTTTGTTCTCTTATAACATCAAGGTACCAATTAAAGAAAGACCTCAAGTGGGAAATAATGTCACCATGACTCTAAATCATTTGCAAAGCGCATTCCTTATTTTAGCTGTTGGTTATTTACTAGGATTCTTAGCTTATTTGGGCGAAAATATCCAGAAACGTATGGAAAAAAGAAACATACCGTTTTACAAATAACAATTGACAAATTATTTAGTTACAATGATTGAAATTAGAGTTATTGCGTAATTCGCAAGTTTTCAGATAGATGTGTACATTGGGTTGCCTATATTCAAGCACTGCTTATGAAGATTTACAAAAACTACTCAAAGTCTAGAAATCAATAAATTTATTACTTGAAAATTACAAATAAATTCATAAAAAAAATGATAATTTTCAAATTAATTACATGGAATTTCTTATAGATTACCACAAAATTATTGATCAATCCTATTAATTATAAAGTATTAATAGACTTTGAAATTGACATTCTTTTGTTGACTTTATTAATAAAATTATTAAAAATAATTGAAATTTCCATAATTTTACTTCTTCTCTACAAAATATTAAAATGATCATTTACATTTTTGGTTGTTAGAAATCAATGAGTTGGAAAAAAAAAGGTCAATAGTCAAAGTAGTAATAATTAAGGTTCAGTTTTTTTTTTGTGTTGTTGTTGTAATTAAAGCGATATTTAATTGCTTCTGGTGTAATAAGTCTAATTCGATTCGGAAGATGAAGTTGAAGGTGCGTTTGAAGATGCTGGTCAATTGAAGAATTCGGGAGCGAACGACGGGATTAATTGGTTCTTCGACGATGCTTCGGTCTCTTCATCCTCGCCGCCGACCGTCTTCGAAGATGGGAGAAGAAGAGGTGAATCTCGCCGTTCCGCTCGACCCATTCAGATTTCACGCGTATATAAATCCACCAGATGCCATCGAGCCTCGTTCCCGACTGCACAAATATTATTACCGAAGAAGAATGAAGAAGGCAATGGCCATATCGGGTCCATCCTCTGCACAGCGCATCTTAAATGTGTGTTATGCTTCATTCCAACGTTGTTGTTGTTGATTCTTTTTGTTGTTGTTGTTGCTGTTTCGTGTTGTTATGGTGGACGTAGGTTTCATTTTGAGGTCTTCGTTTTTTTTTGCTCTGGCCATCTTCTTCCTCCTCCTCCTCATCCTCAGCCGTTGGTAGTCGGGTCGGGCAATAAATTTTAGTAGGAAAAGAGAGAAGAGGCTCGCTCGCTCGCAGGTGGTAGCTGATATAGGATTAATGAGGCTATTTAAATGCATGACACGAGGGTCGCGTACGATCACGGCCGAACGTGCCCTCTCTCTTGGGGGATGCAAACCCGGACGCGCCTCGGGAACGACGAGAGAGCGCGATCCCCGGGTCCAGGAGGATCCGAAACCCAAAAACCCCGATCCTGCGTGGATCCGCGCGACTTCGCCACCTCCCCTCTGCCCATACCTTCACCAATTATTCCGTTGGATAGGTCGAAAACTCAATTCGCAACATTAACGAACAATTTCGTTCGCGCCACCTGGGGAAATTACACAAACCCTGTGATTATTACAGTGTTACTACTACAAATGTACTCCTGCACCTAATGTTTAATTACATAGATTTTAATTAAAAAAATAGCATCAATTTAAAACGTAAAGAAATAAAGAAATGATATTTAATACAAATAATTAATAATATAAACTATTAGAAACGTTACAGATTTTCTGATACAAAATATCCCTTCTGTCTGTTGTTTAGTTGCCCCTGGGGGAACGAATCCCATTTTAATTTATGATCATGTTTCGAGGATCCCAAGAGGAAAAACAGTCCTCTCCTCTCTTTTCGATGTTATTGAGGCTATAAAATCGCTTATAAATTTTAACACCCAAACGAAACGAAAAAAAGATAGAAAACAACACTTGACAATTCTAAATCGATAAAACATATATAAAATCGTTGTTTGATAGATTTAATAAATGTCATTTTTTTTGAAGTAGTGAATGCATGAAATATGTAGATTTTTTTAATTTAATCACAAGAAACATTGATTCTTATATAATTGATTTTTTTTTGCAGATCTGCGAAAGTGCTGTCATTTCATTCAAACAACTGTGAGTAATTCAAAATAACTGCAACCGATTAAGGTAAGAGTATAATATCAATATAATGTCAAATTTCTACTGAGAATTCAGAATCAATTAGTTAAAGATGCACAATTTTCAAATATTTGAAGAATTTATATAAATTCAATAAACAATTGTTAATTGTCATTTTTGACAGTTTATTTGCACATTAAAACACTGAAATATTACATATATGAATTAAATTTTGATTGAAAAAAAGTAATTAAGACAAATTTTGTAATCAAAACTAATCATATTTAATTAATTTCAAATCTTATAAGAATTTTATAGTTTTATTTTGTATAGAACAAGAATTTGCTGTGTTATATAAATCAAAAAACAAGCTGTCAAATATATTGTCATATTTGACAGTTTATTTCTCGCATTTGACAATTTGCACATTGAAACACTGAAATATTACATATATGAATTCAATTTTGATTGAAAAAAGTAATTAAGACAAATTTTGTAATCAATACTAATCCTATTAAATTAATTTCAAATCTTATAAGAATTTTACAGTTTTATTTTGTATAGAACAAGAATTTGCTGTGTTATATTATAAATCAAAAAATAAGCTGTCAAATATATTGTCATATTTGACAGTTTATTTGTCACATTTGACAAATTGCACATTGAAACACTGCAATATTACATATATGAATTCAATTTTGATTGAAAAAAAGTAATTAAGACAAATTTTGTAATCAAAACTAATCATATTTAATTAATTTCATATCTTATAAGAATTTTATAGTTTTATTTTGTATGGAACAAGAATTTGATGTGTTATATAAATCAAAAAACAAGCTGTCAAATATATTGTCATATTTGACAGTTTATTTCTCACATTTGACAATTTGCATATTGAAACACTGAAATATTACATATATGAATTCAATTTTGATTGAAAAAAAAATAATTAAGACAAATTTTGTAAACAAAACTAATCATATTTAATTAATTTTAAATCTTATAAGAATTTTATAATTTTATTTTGTATAGAACAAGAATTTGCTGTGTTATATAAATCAAAAAACAAGCTGTCAAATATATTGTCATATTTGACAGTTTATTTCTCACATTTGACAATTTGCACATTGAAACACTGAAATATTACATATATGAATTCAATTTTGATTGAAAAAAGTATTTAAGACAAATTTTGTAAACAAAACTAATCCTATTAAATTAATTTCAAATCTTATAAGAATTTTATAGTTTTATTTTGTATAGAATAAGAATTTGCAGTTTTCGAGTAACAATTGTCATATCTGACAGCTCGTTTTTTGATTTATATAACACATTTTTTTTTTGAAGTTGTTTCTTTTGTATACTAATTATGAAAAATCGATTAGTCAAGGAAGAAAATGCAATATCCACAGTGACTGTTGGTGTTTAATAGACTGAGTAAACAATTGTAATGGACAAGTCCGAAGTCATTTTGCAGCTGGTGACGGAGTAAATGGAGGAACGAGGGGGGAAAAGAACAGTAATCAAATATTTGGGATAGTTTCTACAATGCATTGTCGCCGTAATAAATTCATCGATTTGTCAAGTGGAATGAGAAGGACGACGGTGGTTCGGTCACCCCTCGTGGAAATAAACTCGTGCAGTGATTTCCTACCACTAATTTCGTTATTAAAAGGGGATAGATCTTGAGCACGTAATCAACTTATAAGAGAAAGAGAGAGAAAAATAAATAAACCTACATAGTGATGCGTATGAGGGTGGAAAATCGTCCTAGCGCGCTTCTTGCTTAGGGTCGAGTTTCGTCCTTGTGTGGCTCTGTTAATGGCCAATTTTCGGTGTTATTGCATTTGCGAATACGTAATGAAATTCTCTTCGTTTTTTTTCTTATTTATATTTTCTTTTTTGATTGACTCCTTGATGGATGTTTCGTCCTTTCATTCACTCTTCGTATATTGCATATTTTCCGCCGCCCCACAGTCGTTTCGTTTTCACGCAACACCGGAGGGGAATTTCATTTGGATCTGTGGAGGAGGATGATGTGCGTTCTGCACGTGCAAAATAATCTTCGGTGTTTGCACAGCGGATGATGGGAAGGAAGCCTTGATGTGTGTGTGTATCTGCATGGTTGGTGGGTTAGGTGGGTAGGTGGGTAGGTAGGTAGGCAGTGTTGTTCTTCGACACGCTATCTCTCTAAGCTTCGGTTAGATCTAAGAAAGAAAAGAAAGTAACGCAACGTCCATGCATCAAAAATATAATTACAAAAGGGGCGTCGAGAAGCACGAAGCGATTACGCTGCTCACTCCAAAAGGAAGGTAGTTATTATGTGGTGGCAACCCTGGGATCGTGCACATTCTAACCCGGCTACCGGAGACTCCTATTGACCTCAACCAACCGCGGATATTTTGGATCCTCCGACGCTCCTCTTCTCCTTCCTTCACCTCCTCTTCCACCACCATCCAACCAACAACGCCAACGACAGCCGCACAATCTTCGCGTCTCTTTTCCGCCAACGTTCTGCTCTTCTTTTGCGCATTTAACTCGGATGGACGCATATTTACACACCCCCGAGACTTTATAATTACTCACCGAAGCTGCTTCATTTGCGCCGCATGATAAATAGTTCTCAAATTTTGACACCTGCATTAACATACCTCTCGTGTTTCACCTTTTGATACCCTCGTCTTTCACCCAATAAAACAACAAATAAAAACGCAACAACAAATTTAACATCAACAATAAATACAACAACTGCCCTCAATTTTGTTTCATAATTTCATGTTTTCAATTACTTTACATTAAAATTACAACAACAAAAACAACCCATTGTAGAATTTAAATTTTCTTTGAAAAAAAAAGCATATTTTCATTTCTATCAATTGTTACATTTCATCTAGAAATTATTCGTCAACAACAATATATAGT